CCTGGATCCTTCCCTTCTCCAGGGGAACATTCCCAGCTCTCCCAGCCTGGCTCCAGAGGGGCTCCAGCCCTGCAGCAGCTCCATGGCTCCTCTGGACTCTCCAGCAGCTCCAAGTTTTCCTTGTTTTGGGGGCAAACCCAGCATTAATAACAGGGAAACCTGGGATTGCACACCTGGGAGGATGAGTGGGGTTTGCATCTGCTCATCTTTTCCAACATGGCAAATTCCAGATGGAATTGGAAGGAATTTGGTGCTGTGCCCTAACTGATGGACACATCCAGAGCTCCAAGCCTTCTAGTTCCTCAGGAGCACAGATCCCAGAGGATTTTCCATGGCAGCAGGAATCTGTTTGGGATATCTGTTGTCTCTGAGGCATTGCTGAGCAGGCTGCAGGGTTCCATTCCTTGGCCTTCCTCCCACCCCTGTCCTTCCCAAGCTCTGGCTTTGGGTTATCCTAAGCCAGGCTTACCTCCCAGCACTTTTCTCCTCAGCCTATTTCTCCTGAATTGTCATTAAAAGCAAGGAGCCCACTTCCCTTCTCTGAAGCCCTGATGTTTTGCTGAGAACAATCAGTTTTCTGTCTCTCTCTGTCTTCTTTCCATATGAAAGGCTTGGAGTTTTGTGAAATCCCAAGGTGCTCTCTCTAAAGCAAGGTATAAACGAATTCTACTTTCTTAAATTTAATAAAAGGAAACCTACTTCATTTGAATTTTTTTTTCTTACAGAAATTATTTTAAGGATTTGTGTTAAAAAAAAAGACATTTTCCTAATGTTGCTCTTTAATATCACAACTTTCAGGAGCATTGTAGAGCCAAATTTTCAAAATACGTTTGAAATCTAATAGATTTGATAAGTTGTTCTCTGCCTGAGCAGAAATTTTTGTACCACTTCTGCCAAGTTTTTGCAAGAAGTTTGATTTCCATGATCCCTGTTTCTCTTCCAGCTGCTCCTTCTGAAACTGAATTATGGACTGGAGTTTTGACTTTTTCCTTACATAGCTATTGTAAATAAAACCAACTACAAAGGCTTTTCATTTTGAAAAATTGAAGCAGCAGGCACCCTGAACAAAAGGAAATGTTCCCAACACTTCTTTTATTGTAACCAAATTAATCAAGCTCCGAGATTTAGTTGTAATTTCAAAGTTAAATGTTTAAGTAATGCAAAACTCTTTAATCCTGCAGTGCCTCTCTCTTTAGAATTCATAACAAAATGGCAAAATTGCTAAAGTTAATTTTTTTAATAGTTCATTTTTCTTAGCAAAGCTAAAGATTGGCTTCCTACAACCCCAGGAACCTGGATACCTCCAGAAAGTTTTGAGGTTCTTGGGATAGCTCCAGAAAATATTGAGGGTTTGGATGATTTCAGTCTGGTATTAGAAAATGTTACATATCTCCATCCTTAGGTTTTCCTGAAATCTCACAAGAAATTTCTGTGAAGTGGAAGCCACATCTTTTTGCTGAAAGGGCTGCTGGTTTAAAATAATAGGTAGGAGCTCCTGTTATTATTTATTAATTATAAATTATACTTAAAAGAAGAATGTATAGTGTAGTACTTGAGATAAACCGAATTATTATTTTCTGTTGAACCACTAAACCAAACTCAGTTTATTGATTTTTGTTTTAATAATTCCTTCTGACAAAAAAAAAAGGAAACTCAAGGGCAGCAAATTTAAAATGTAGCTGTTAATGAAAACCTTAAAAAAGTTGTTTTTTTTTTTTTACATGAAGGTGGCCTGAAAGGTTGCAAAGGGATTCTCTTTTTTTCATTTTGAGCTTCAGTGTTGTTTTTTTTCCCTTCTTATCAATTCACATCCTTGGAGGGCCACTATATGTGAAAAATGTATTGAAATGCTTTAGGAAGGCATCATCACTTGTGAGATTCTCAACTGGCCTTTTCCTAGAACGATCCTAGTCCAGGGAAATGCTTGAAAATTAAAGCCAGGGATGCTTTTAAAATCAAACACACCACATTTCTGAAGAAAAGAGCCTCTCTTCCTCTCCAAACCTGTGGTGATCCTCCAGAGCTGCACACAAAAAGGGTTATTTTTATTTTTTACCACATTTCTGAAAAATATTCCTGAGAGGAGAAGATTTTCACCAAGGTGGGGCAGCAGTTGCCACAGTTGGCTTTGGCTCAGCCTCCCAAACTAAGTTGGGATCACTTCAAAGGATTCATCACATTTCTTGGAGGTTTCAT